TAGGCCTGTGGCGCGACCACCTGTTGTGCCACCGCCTGCTCCTACAGGAGAAGGCGGTCCCACCGTTAGCACTAGCGAGATCTAAGGTGTTGAAGCGAAGCACCCTGGGGAAGAGGGCCAGAAAAACAGGTAGAAGGCTGTGGGTATGGTTTCCAGGGGAAGAGGGGGGAAGGGGGAGAATAGTAATCTTTGTTTGCAAGATATGAAGATAGTGAACACCCCAGATTGGAGGGTTTTATCTATTTCCCGCCACCCTCCAATGATCTGGGGGAGATGGCTCTATATTCCTATAATATTATTATAATCAATTTATTGCAGAGTTAGTCAAGTGGCTCGAGCATTTGACAATTATTTTGCCAAAATCTTCTAGGATCAGCATTCCCAGCGCATTAATATGAGGGTGGAGTACCAAGGGAGGAGTTGATATTTCCGAAGTGGCGGTGAGTTGAAACCATTTTTTTCTATGATAAAATCAAGAGACGGGTGGAATTATCTAGTAGCGCCGTGGCTTTTATCGGCGTTGGCACTGACTTCCCGCGTGCTAGAGCCCCGGCTTCCTAGAGGTGACAAGGGTCGACGGGATAGCCGAAGGCGCCGTAGCAGCAGTGATCCTTATGGCTGTAGCGACAGCGCCCGCGGTGGTCGTTGTGGTCCTCGGACCGCCCTGCAGGGGTGGTGGGAATCAGTGATAGGAGGTGAGAGTGGGCGATCTGAAAAATTATGAAGGGGGTGTGCAATTTTGGAGAAGCAGAGTATAAAGAAATGGAACTAGTACAACCACTGAGAGACCTGTTATTCGGTGACCTGACCCTTCATCTAACTGTGGCCAGAGGGGACCTTTTAAATGTTCAAACAGACTATGGCTGGACCTATTGTTTTGGCGTCCTCACCAGAAAGTATCAGTGTTTGGGAATCTATCACACCCGCTGGAAGTGGATAGTGGAAGTAGGGGTCAATCGTGATCAAACATATGGTATGAGAACTAGAACAGTCCAGTGTTAGATGCTAGTCGTGATACTTGATCTGTTTCTCTCTGGTTCGAAGGGTCAGGATTGCGGTGGATTTCTTACTTCTCGTTGTTTCATCCTTTGCATTACCTTCTCACCGGTTTCTCTCCAACTCTCTATAAAAGAGTCTGTATTTCGCCGTTCTATTCCTGTGAGTTCTCTATCAGACCTATTCGTTCCTTTCCTTGTTAGACGATATCAATCTCTACTTGTTCTTTTATCACTCTCTCTGTTGCTCTTGAATAGAAGTGAATATACCGACATTGATACGCTTGTCTCATATTCTTCACATTAAATACGTGAATCAATCATGGACTCTTCCGGGAGTCTCCTAACATAATCACACCATTTCTGTATTTCCTTACACCATCTCGTTACCCCTCTCTTCCCTTCACCGCTCTCCTGCTTTGGTGTAACTTTTATGCCCCACTTCGCATACCTCACCGAGTACCTGACTTCGGTGAATCTTCCGATATTCCTCTCGAATGTTCTAATGGAATGACAGGTAGGAATTGTTTCTCTGGTAGCGCCGGTGATTAACAACAGATGAGGGGTCGTTCCCCTGATTAGTTGTTGTTCCCGCTTCAATTTGTTCCGCATGATTTGTTACCAGACTCGCGGAGCTTCAACCCGAAGTTTCTGGTGTCAGAGCGTGGCACGGTGGTAAATGTTAAGCGAGGGCAGCCTCAACCAAGTGCCGTACCGCTAACAATTTGGAAAAATGGTCACCACGAGAACAATTGAGTAGGATATTTCGTGCAATCTGCAAGCAGCCCCTCGGAATGCCGCTTGTTCAGTACTCTTAGCTGCGAAAAATTTCGATCTAGAATCCCCCAGCACTATTGAATCTCTCTTCCTCCCTTTCTTGATTTCGGCAGTCTCTCATGCACCACTGTATAGCTCTTCTGGTTAGTCGGAGGAGGAACTGCCTATCCATTTAGCCACTATCCGGAGATGACAATATCTAATTCAGTATGACGAAGCCTGAGTGAGTGCTGTGATGAAGGTCTCAACTGACCGGTGAATTGTGAAAATTTGAATGGAATATAAAACCGAAAAGAAGAAAAAGAGCCTCGATTTGATGCGACACAGTAAAGAAAGAACCCCCTTTCCGACTGGTTTTCCTTCTATATTTTTCGCTTCCTGCTCTTTCTTGTTCGTTGGAAAGGGTGATTCCCTCTCTTTTGAATACTATAGCTCCATGTAACGGAGAGAATGCATAAAACTACAGCAACCGGTATGTGAATCAATATGACGACCTTCAGCTCAAGCAAATAACTGCGCATATCATGGCAAGTCTCTTCTCACATTCAACAGTACTCCGTGTCTCACTACTATCACAACAGGTTAGCAAACCCCAACGTACATATATTTCTGATACGGCATATAAAACGAACCCTCAGAAAAACAACCTCTAGCTAAGGTAATCGACGCCCAGGCGCAGGCGACCGGAGCGGCCACCGATGAAAGAATAGATCTCTTGTGCATCCTGGGACTAAAGGCGTTTCTGTTGCAGGAAAATCCAACCACCTCACCCTACCTCAAATCACCCACCTTGAAGAGAACCCCCCCTGTCTTCGGTAGGTCGCACGACCTGTATAAATGTAAGGGACACAATTAGCGTATCCATTCTATAAATAAGGTCATGTGATAAGATAGAGATAGAGCTTGCACTGCATCTGGATTGTGGCCGCCCTTCATATTGTAAATCACGGTTACTCCACTTGACAGCCTAATTGCCTACATAGATTACGCGTATGCAGGGAGTCTTCGAAGCTCGATTTCCTATTTATAATGCTTATGGGATTTCTGTTTGTAAGTAGGATGGAAGGTTCTGGGGGTTCATTGATCTCCGTGTATCGTACAGGGTGTTTAGCCAGAGAGGGGTTTACGGACCTATTTGGAGGGAGGGACGAGACTGGTTGATAAAAGCGGGGTAAAGGGAAGTTAAGAGAGGCGGGGAGAATAAGCTAGAAGGCGGGTATGGAGGTTGTTGAGAAGTATAAAGTGGATATGGGATTGCACAGGAAAGGAAAGGCTGTGGCTGATATCATCGACGAAAACGGGATCCGAGAAATATATATACCGTTCAGAAACCACATCTTCCCTTGCTCATAACGTGAACGATTCAGTCGAAATTACAAAACGCCAACGGCCACGAAGACCATGGTGAAGGGTCTCTTATGAACTCCCTCTTTTGCCAGTTCCCGTAAAATATCAAGTGTTCTGGATACTCCCAGGCAAGCCAACCACCAATATGGATAATAAGAACAGGAATGTGGTTGTTATTCTTCCCCAACCTCTCGGCCTAGTTGTAGAACTCCTCAAAAACTATTTAAAGAGTGGTCTGGTATCTACTCAATATTGATTGCCGGGAATCAATATCGTTCGCGACCTTCCCAGCCGTCCAGTCCGTCTGTCTTTGAGGTAGGGAAGGACAGACTGTAGCCCGTAGTCCGTCTTCGTGGAGGTGCTGCGACGGGCTATGCCCGCGACAGCTACTATAGGACCGGACGGACTATCATATCATACCGAGGACTAACAGCCCTAAATACTATGAATAAAAGACCGTTGTCAGTCCCAACGGTTCAACCCTTTCCGGGGTTTTTTCTATGTGTTTTTCCCCCGAGGTCCCCCGCAGTCCGCAGTAGCCCCCCGCCGTCAATTGTAGCCCCGGGCAGTCACAGGCGCCTCCGGTTCATCGTATAGGGCCTCTCGTCCTGCATTTTGACGGCACAGGATGGACTGCACACGGCAGTCCTGTCCTGTCCAAGCCTCCTCCCAGTCGCCGCGTGGGGCCTCGCCTAGTCCCTGGGCGTTTGGGAACACTGAGGTATTCTGTGTAAACAAAAAACCGATAGCAGAAGGAAGAGTTGGCTGGACAAGAATTGAAAGTTCGGAAAAAAAGGGGGCCCTAGCAGCTTCAGTTTGAGGGAAGTAGCCAGCCAATTGGCGAGGGTCACAGGGGTTTAACATAATCTTTTGGAGAAGCCAGGCATGTGGCTCTGGTGACCTGTCATGAAATATATAGGAGATCCCTTTGGAAGAGGATAATCTGGAGATCTTGTGAGGGGGAAGCTTGAACGCATCGGGTGTTAAGAATATTTTGGGGATATACTACAGAATTAAAACAAGGCTGGCTGGTATCCCAGAAATTGGTAACTTGGCTTGAAGGAAGTATAAGAGGATAGACGAGAAAAGAAGCAGCAAGAAGGACGGTGAAATGTAGCGGGCCTAAACGCCACACTGCTCAGTACTTATAGAATCGGTAACAGAAATTCGTCTTTGGATCAGTGGAGAAGAGCGGCATTATGGGTGTTTTCTGTAGAATGTCGAGTGGGGAAAGCAGCAACCATAAGATTCCACCCGCCAACTGCCAACAAAAGATGTTGTTTCGTGACCACTACTTCCTGCTCTTGGATCACGAATAAAAATTCCCTGTACTCCTACCAAACCTTATCCCAGCGCCAAGTTAGCCTCCTCCTGTCCGACGCAGTAGCGGCAGTGGGACTCGTGGTAAATGTGAATTTGCAGCACCCTACCTTAGAGCCCTGAGGGCAATGCAGCGGGGCGAGTGGCGGGACGAGGCCTAGCGGCTGGCCTTTTGTGGTTGTGTTCTCTGGGTCGGGACCTGATCGCACCCCACCGTGGGAGAAAATGGTAATAATTGGGAAACACTATCACTTCACCATCACATAGAAAGTGCGAATGACAATACCCATCACGAGGGGCGGATAATTTGTTACCCTCATCAATAGTCTCCATTCCCAAACGAAGGTAACCCAAAGAATGCTGGAGCGATAAAACAAAGCAACGGGCAAAAGAATACAATAGAAATTTCCTAAATACGAAGCAAAATAACAAAGACAGTACCGCCACCCCACAGGTATCTCCAGCCCCCCACACAAACCCCCTCGAGGTTCCCGTGAAACCCATCACTAGCGAGATCCTCAATCTTAACTGAAATCAAGCTGCGGTGGGGTTTCGTAATCTTTATTGCCTAACACCCTCTTTGATGGTATCAGCGGTAACCCACCCAGTGAAGCTCTTGCAATTCTTGGCCTTCAACAGGATGCCTATTTCCACCAGGTACTCGATTCCTTGATCAAGTCTACGCTGGCCAACGGCATAATCCCCCAACCTCATCGATGGCGCCCTTCAGTTCTTGGGCTATGTGTGCAGCCGGGGGCTCGGGGGTGTAGGCAGTGGCTAGAAACATATCTGATTTAGTCATGAACCCAAGCACTCTAGAGGGGTGATGGCAGATGGGAACAAGCATGGCCCAGAGAATACCCTCACCGATGGCCCTCCCTCCAAGCGCTTTCGCGGCCGGTCATTCAGTAGAGGCCTCCCCGATGTGTTCCATAATCTGGCGTTCGACAGTGGTAGAAACGACATGCAAGTTGATGGTTTCCCCGAAGCTCCCGTAACCCATGCTGTTGAAAAGACGATACCCGGGGAGGTCGACGCCGGAGAGATGACCCAGGTCCAAATAGACAAGCATAAAGTCTTTCCAATTTGGAAACACCAACTCCCTTGTGGACCTCTTTGCGGGAACATTGTCCAGCTATAATCAAAGCCCTAGACTCGGCATTCCTTGTTCCGGAAACGCACTGCTCAAGTCAATGAAGGCGTATGCCAGCAAGGAATTCCGCCCCACCACCTTCATCACCAATCCCAGCACCCAAACTCAATACCCTATAGCGTGATAAAATACCCACGTCGCCGAGGTTCTTGTGGATTTTAAAGGTTGCACGCAGGTCGACCCTAGGAAGTAGAGAGAGCTTGGGGCCCCAGGTTCAAAGCCCGGCCGAATAGTGCTAAAGAGTCTCAATCTTGAAACCAAGAAATTTCCAGGTTTTTGGGTACTTCATAAATGCTCGGGGTTCAGCGTGGTCGCAGTTTTCCGTAGCTATCCAACCATCAGAGAAACTGTACAGACCGTGTTTCGCTATGGAGAATTAGAAGGGAATTTAAAGGGAGGGCTGGTAGTGGGAGGCGTTGGGGGTCGAGGATGGTGTTACGCTCCAAAAAAGCAAAAAAATAGGAACGGAATTTGCTTGATGAACGATGTACGTTGAGGAGAACCAAGAGGATTATGATAACCAACCTTAGAAAGCCCATGGCGAAGGGGCGGGGCCCGGTGGGCGGTAGAGGTTTGTAGGCGAACTCCGAAATCATGACCGGGGGGAGACACAAGGGGCGGGAAATAGGGAGGGTGCGAAGGTGGGACAATAGGGAGCAAGATAGAGATGTGGAGGCAAAACACAAGGGGAGAGATGGCATAGGGCGCGAGGCCTAGGGGAAAAAGTGAGAGGATACAAAGAAAATCACCAACTCTCACTCAGTTCCTCTTATTTATTTGAGCCTCAAATTTACAGTGAGTTCCGCGCTGCTCTCCCAGCATAGAATATCACCTTCACACACTGTGAAGGGCCAGGGCAAAGTAAAGAAAGAGAAAGAGCCCTACAACACACTCCAAACACTGGAACTATAATCTCACCCGAAAGCCCCAACAACAGCAATTAAAAACTATCTTATGGAGAATACCGTTAAGAAATTAGCGACAGTTTGGCAAGAGCAATTTGTAAATTCACAACACGTTTTGGAACGGTTACCATATTAACTAGTTTGCCTAATATGCTATTGGGCGTGCATTCATAGCTATTAGCTTAACTCTGTGAATGTTCCTACCGACTCAAAAAGCATTTTTATTTGCCTAGTGTTTCAAAGAAACCACAAAACACCATATCCTTATCGATCAGAGCTCCCGGTGATATCCAAGACACCCCTCATGCCGGCACTCCACCGCTCTCGGTAACTGGGGCACGCCGGAGCTTCTGTTTATTTTAACCCTCTCGGATTACACGCGAGGGCTGGTCCATGGGTATGGTGTTCTGGCCATCACACATGGAATTTTCGGCAAGATTATCCAGAAAAACCGTTGGTGTTAGGACACACACCTCCACGGATATTAATGAAACCAAGGAAATTCCCACGTTTTATAAAGAACACAGGCCCTATGGCGATATACCACCGATCAGAATTTTCATTCGTCTCCAGTATCCTGGGCATTCGGTTTTAACGAAAAGTTTCATTCCCTGTCGGTCCTGCCACCCCTCCTCCCTGATGGGGCGCCTTACCTCAGAAATACCTTGGGGAAAGTCACTCGATCTCTCATGGCGGTGGAGACAGAAGAAGTGGACGTTTCCTACCTTTCTTCCCAGGGTGGATCAGTGTCCTGTGAGCACACGCTTATGGCCGCGAATGAGTTGTATACAAAGCCGCTGCGGGGAGTATGAGGCAGTCAAGTTTAGTATGTACCCCGACACAGCACCTACAGCAGACAAACGCCGTGGGGGCAGCTCAGTCAGTAACAGCTTAGCCCAACCAAAACAACCCCTCCGACAACATCTGAAAACAACGGATGGCCTCCATGGACGAGGGGCGGCAACTTGGCTGGCGACGGATAGGAGTTGCTACCCATACAACTAGGGACAACATATTGGGATTATAAAGAGCACCTGGATATTAGTAAACGGGAGACACAATACAGTTAAGTATTGATTCTTTGATGGACTCTATGCGATCAGGTGTGTCTACCGGTGTTTTCAATCGCCCTGCCCCATAGGACTCGGAGGACGGACTTCCAAGAGCCCTGGACCGGACAGGACGGTATAAGGTACCCAGTCCTCGTCCTTCATATCGAAGGACGGCCGCCCCCAGGGGGGACCGCGGGCCTGACAACCTGAGACAGTATTAGCCAGAGTACTATCAGGATGGCTTGTAGACCAGAGGCCAAGTATATGGAGGGGTGAATTCAGATGTTAACAGGATGCAAGACGCCCTTAAAGCACTCGAGTTATATTCCATGGACTTCGTTCCTCTTCTGTTTTCTAGCTTTATTTTTTTCTTTGTGCCCCCAACATTCGCATAAGTTATGCCATTCTCCACCCACTCTGTATGTTACCTCCATCTATTCTTCCTCTGCTCTGACATGTCTCTAATTGTTGAATTCTTTTCATCATGATGTAAGATCTGCTCTTTATTTGGGGTGCCCGGCGCCCTATCTGAGTATTGCTGCAATTTCCCAACCCCCCGCCCTTTCCCCCAGCCGACGGTGATCTTGGTTTTCTTTTGATTCCCTTTTGAAGCCCATTCCTTACCATATTTCGCCCCCGCGAACATGGTCGATATTTTAAGGTGCCATTATTATCGCCAGAGCCTGGTTTCCAACTCTAGCGTGTGACCTTTGATTTCTATGTTGGTTCAGAATATAAAACGAACTGAGACATTAACGAGGATATAGTAGTGGACTGTGGGGCCCGCCTACCATAACCAATCCCCGGGAAAGAAATTGCCCAAAGGAAGGAAAGGACGAAAAAAAACGTGGTCCTTCCTCGTCCGCGCTTGAGACGTACGGACTGCTCCACTGAGTACGCTGGTGTCTACTAGGTCTGTCTGTCAACTTGGTTTTCTTCAGCAAATAAGTTGCCCCATGGTAGCGACAGCTATGAAGTCCATTAATACTACAGGTTGTAGGCATGTACAAAGGCCAGCAACTTCCGGATAGCTTTTACTAGGTAAAATTTGTCCTATCTGGCTTATCACAGAGATGGAACAGGACAGGCTGGCCAAGACTAGAGGGGCTCGGCAGCGCGGGACGGCGAGGGGGTTAAGAGCGCTGGACAGGATAGGACAGCCATGTGCAGTATGGTGCAGTGCGTCTAAAGTGTGGACCTGGGTAGATGCAATATGGGACACTCAACCCTGTGAGGAATTAGGGTTATATCTGAAAATATGTAATTTCTCAAGGCTGTGTTCAATTTACATTAAGGGAGTATTTTTTACATATATTTTTGTTAATTATTAATACTGAATAAAGGTCAATAATTGATTATAACTTTTGGACAAGGTAAAATCTGTAGTTCTAAAGCACCTATTATACAAAACTAATTCACGCAAAAACTAGAAAATACAGGGAATTGAACATAGGACCTTCTGAAATTACATATTTTCTGATATAACCCTAATTCCTCACAGGGTCCCATGTTGCATCTACCCAGGTCCACACTTTAGACGCACGGCACCATACTTCGGGTGTGTTAAAAATGCAGGATGTAGGGCATTGGGTAGGACGGATATCGTTTGATAGGATTGTGGGCCTTGCCCGGCGTAATAGTAGCCGGCACAGGGACCTTGGGGGACCTCGGGAGACTACACATGATTATTAGGGACTGCTGTGAACTGCTGTAAACCACTACCGATGGCGGGGAACTACCCTGGATGGTGGATGGATCTGTGTAGGGCTGTGGGTGGCAACAAATTATACTACAAGCAACCTCAGAAACCGTTGAAACATTGGGGTTGAAAAGGGCCTGTTGGATATAGGATCCCAGGCTATAAAACGGTAGGCCTCAGTAGTCTGAGAAATCCCACCAATGTCAAGCACAGTCCACCCAAGGACCTCCAATATTGCCGACGATACCCTACAATCCCCCCGCCCTTGCCCGGATGACAGGTAGCCTGGACTGTTGGAAACCAGGATGGATAATGATGGGAAAGTAGGATGTTTGTGGAAACCATCCAAGGATACCGTGCACAAAGACCTCTCGAAGTAAATCATTTTGTTTATTCACCAAGTGGACAGATATATGGAGATCATACCAGGGTTTTCCTTATCAGTATTTTGGTTTTCAAGCACCCGAAACTAAGTACCCAGCAACCGAGCCCCCAAAACGGAGAGCCTAAGAAATCCCCCCACCCCAATCCGGAAAAATGCGCCCCACCCCCTAGTCTCCCCTCCGGCAACGAACTCACCACCACTTTGATTTAGCTGCTGCTTCACGGTCCGTTTGTTCCACATATTGTCTCACAACGGCCTCGGTGAGTTTTGAGGAAAACGATATACCATCAGACCGGGGCGCTGAGCTAAACACATTGAGCAAGAGGAGTCTCACTCCAAGCGCTGCATCCGGGACCATCCGGAAAAAATCATTCCAACCAATATGACCATCCTGCAAAATCTTTCGTACAAGGTGTAACGCGGGACCTCGAAAGGCAGCCTCTTCCGAATTCTTTGCTGCCGCAAATTTTAGCCCAACATCTGTGAGGAGCTTGTGCCTAACAGCTGTGACCGAAAGTTTGTTAGAATCAACCTCAAAATATCTCAGATCCAAGTTCGAGATCAAACCTTCAAATGACAAGCCTCTGCTAATGTCACTGACAATGAGCTGAAGATAATACGGACGGCCGCCAACGAGGGCGTAAATCTCCTCCGCATCGGATGGACTAAAGGCTTTTTTATTACATAAAAACTCAACTGCCTCCTTATAAGTCAAATCTTCAACCTCAGCGATTCTCCCCAGCCTGCAGTAGGTCGCACGACCTATATTCCAACAAAGAATACAATTAGCACATTAATTCTAGAAATCCAGGATTATATCAAGGTAGAAAAACAGCTTGCCCTGCATCTGTATCGGTGTCAGTCCCTCACTCTCCACGAATACTACTTCAAACAGCCTCTCATCTGCTCCATCCTTTGCAATATCTTGCAAAATCGCCAGTAGCTTGGGATTTTCCCATGCAAGTCGATTCAGATTATCAATGATAAGAACCGGAAGGTGGCCGTTATTCCTTTTAAACACCCGAGCCTGAATCCAAAACTCCTCAAAAACTTGCCTGTAGAGTGGCCTGGAATCTGTAGAAAATTAAATCCTGCCAATCAATACTACAGGTCAGGTGGCCAGCATACCAGAGTCACCTAGTCCATTAACCATCCGCATCCGGGTTAACAACATTTGGAGGCTGCTTCCTATGCGGGGGGACCAACGGAGGGCCTGTGAAAATGCCTGGCCGAAGGCCTCGTCACTGCTATCTCCGTGTTGCATATCAACGTAAATGACACCAGAAAGTTGGTGCGCGATTCTGCGGACTAAGGTGGTTTTCCCCGTCCCGTGATTTCCCACGATCATGCTGTATTGGAAATCTGTATGCGGGTTGTGCAGGAGGGATAGAATTTGTTCTGAAACTTTGGCACGGGCCATTAGGTCCTCGTCCTTTGGGACATCAGGAACAGCACCCTTTGCAAAGGCGCTGCAGAGCTTATTTTGCCTCGCTTTCTCCATGTAGTACGTGTAGGCGGAAGTACCAAGAGGCAAAGCCAGGATGGCCCCAACAACAAAGGAGTGCCTGGAGAAAAGGAGGTACTTGATAGGTTAGCCTAAAAAAAAAGGCCATTCAATACCGTATTTTCTCGGACAATCCACTATTCCGGCAAGCTCTCACCTCTGCCGTCAGAGACGAAACGGCTTGGGAGGAGATAGTGTTTACCTGATGCAGTATGGTTAGGCATAGTAGGAGTTACCAACCTCAGTGCGTGAAATGCACAAGTTTCGGACAGCTCATGCCAGACCCCATCAGGTAAACGCTATTCCTTCTCGAAGTCTTTCGTCTCTGGTACGGAGGTAACAGGCCTGCTCGAGATAGCGGATTATCCGAGTAAATCGGGTGGACAGGAGTCTCTATGACTTACCTTGATCTTTCCAATAATCCACTCTTTCGACGGAGGTGATAAATGAGGGGATGTCGTGCTACTAGTACCACTCGCGGAAGGAAATGATCCTGGGGTCTTCCGGGTGCGGAGTTTACGCAATCTATGCTGGTAAGAATATTTTGAAGATGTGCGAGGGAATCGAGAAGAGACATAATTGGATGCCTGGGAGCGGTAATGGCCAGATTGCAAGTAAGAGTGAGAATTCAGGTGTGAGAAGAGACGGGAGGCAGAGGCCCGAACTCGAGTGGCACTGAATGCCATTGGAGCTGCAGAACGTATGTGTGGCATTAGTAATTGTGTTAGTTCGCTCTGGTGTTGAGAGGGGAGGAAGGAACGGTGTTCAGGCGGGTGGTAGCATGGAGGTGGCCAAGGGAATAGCTAGCAGGCTCTGTTTGTTAAATAGCAAACAAGGGTAGCTGTGGCAAAACCAGCCCTTACGATTAGTGGACAGCAGACTGCAATCCCGCACCCAGACAACTTCCAAACACCCGCAGCTGCAATCTGGATAGGTTTCTTCCACACAGAGTACTTTGTTCCTCAAATATTAAAAAGAAAATAGCTCCTAACAAGACGTCTACACCCACGAGAATAGCCAAGGCTTGAATTCTCACTAACCTACCCGATTATCCAGGGGAATACCCACCGGTTACATATTCCTAAGTGGTGGGGATGCTATGGAATCCAGCCCATTCGCTCACGTGCCGCGCCCAGGCAAAAACAAACACTCCCGGCAATGAGTCGTGGCCGTATAAATGGTGGAATAGTCTTCTATCCTCGGCTCTCTTCCCAATCGGTCCGGAGCACGGTTTTAGATTGAAGCGCCCCGGCTCAGCGCAAGAAAAACAGCCTACTTTTTTTTTGGTGGGTATAATGAAAACGATTGTAAATTGACTGACTATGGAGACAAGACAAGAGAGCAACGGTGTGAATGAGTGAAGACGGATTGACTGGCATAAAGCCATAAGGAAAAACGTTGTGCTTTTATCCTATAAAAACTATACGACAGGAAGGACGACTAGAAAACCCTTTCCTCCACATGATACAGACTACTGGCGGCCGGTAACAGGAGTGTCCGAGATGTTGTTGGTGAGGCAGGGCAGGGCGGGAACCAGTGATTGGTGCGAAGGAAGCGGTAGGTGAATCAACGGCCGCGCCTACAAGTTTCAACACTTTTATGAACAAAATTTAGCGAAACAGAGATATAGAGTAACCATCACTATAGGACTCCTCATTCCAAGACCTCACCAGTGACAAGATCCCACACAGGATGTGAGTCAGGTAGTAAGGCATGGTGTTTCACCGTGGTAGGGTCGGGGACATGGACCCTATGGCACCCGGAAAACCAGGTAGACATTAAAGTTCCTAACTCAGAGCACCAGGCCCACAACTTCCCCAAATACCACAGACACGCGAAACAAGTGGGTCACCAATAGAGACACTCTCCGTCGGCCACTATGCACATATTCGTGATAAGGTCTCTACTCTTCTAGTATCTGAGGGCCACCCTGGCCACCGCCATGACCGAGCTACAAACATCACCAACAATACACATGTTATTGGTATTGGATCAGCAGCCGATCGGCCCCGGTTCACCAGATTTTTCAGGAAAGGGCCACCTCTCACTCCCGGAATCCCAGATATAGGTAGCACACCATGGTGGATCCATTAGCTGCACAGTACCAGGCAATGTGCAAAACAACTCAGGCTGCTGCCGACCATTTAAGAATAGCAGCAGCAATTCAAGGCGGTTAATAGCATCGCTACTGTCACTACCTGATTATGCCTCTATTCAAGCCCTACTGGAGAAGCAGTTGGGATCGTCAACATCACCTGTTTCCTCTCCAGGGTCACCACACTCTCCTCAGTTGAGTCATACCCATCATGGGATTCGTAAAACAACGTCACTCACACCCACTAGACCATATGCATTCGCTCTCTACTTTCGGAGCTTGCTTTCTCCCCAAACCCACTTCCAGGAAAAAACACCCAGTAACTAGCATGGTGGGAATCCCAAAGTTAAGCGGGCCCCAGATTGTCCTGCGTCATCTGTACAAGGGATATTACGTTGGATAAGGTGGATAAGAGTTTTTCCAATTCCCCACTCACTAAGTTGGACGCCCCACCGCCAGGTTAGGCTCTCTCCTGCTCTAGTACCACACCGTTACCGCAAATAACCATATCCATACCTTTCCTTATCTTTGACGAGAACCCATTTCCCGCCAGACACTCCCCCTTCTTTCACATGGGATACGGAATTTATCCAGCTGGGATACCAGTGTATACCCCAAGAGAACTATGCTGACCCAGCTACCTAGGAGGACCTGGAGACACCCGGAAAGTTTTGCAAAACCATGACTACCAGAGGAATCCAACGGGCAGACAGAGCTCCCTTCAACAGTATTGGATGTCTACCCCTATACCACTGCCAAACCTCTGTCCATCTCTCATTTCAACCCCGGATATCCATCCAAAAGAATCACCATGGAATTCGAAACTGTAAGGCAACAACTATACCTCTGGTGCTGTCCGAGTCTTGCGTTACACCTTGTCCCAGAAATCCACATGCCCTAGAGATTCGCACGGCGGGATCCAGAAAGGAAACAGTTATACCTCACACCTGGAAACCCCCCGTATATTAATGAGACTATACCCAAATCAAGACCAAATGGACTGACACCTTTTTTTCAGGTAACTTAATCCTCCTACAATTCCTTCAATAATAATCTCCCCGCACAGTTTAGCACTAATTTGAAGGCAGTACCAGCTGATTTTCTTAAGCGGGTGCCCCCCCATCTTCTACACAGCTACGATATCCCACCATTGGCTCCGAAGGCCATCAGCATCTTTCAGAATTAGGGGAAAGGAAATTCGGGGGTACGAAACACATTCTCAATACACGGGGTCTTTATTACCAGAATATCCCCCGCTATACACAAGACCTACCCATCCCCCAAACTAAAAGATCACACCAGCTGACCGGAATAATGCAGTTCTGCCACCCTCAGCCGCTCCCTTATACCATGCTACCACCCCCGCATTCCGTCCCTGGTAACGCAAGCACTGCCTAGTTTCGCCCCTCAATTACCTACATAGTACCCGTCACGTGGGACGAGTCGCTGCATGGTGGAGATAGCTTTTGCGAGTTGCCCCATCCGGGGATATGGATCTTTATATCTTTGTTTGTGGATCCGGGTTGGTTAGTAGGTATGCGGCCTGTGCCTCCTGTACTAACCGGCATAACCAGCACGCCAGAGCGACCACTGACACGCGGAAAGATTTCAAACAGCAACCAGAACGCTGCACGGTCTTGATACTGAGGCTCCGGAATCAGACCTGGGGTGGTGGCGACTCGGGACTCGATCTTGATGGCACGGAGGACGGCATTAGCCCCGGAATGCGCCATGAGCAGCCATGACGGACTGTGTTATGGTGCCTACGCCGCCGCGCTCATGCAGACAAAGGCACAACAATGCTGCAACACTCACAGCTGGCCGCGCGTTGTCGGAAGTAAATAATGGGGTTTCTAGAGTTTTACCTTAACTGGTTATTCCCGTGGAGAGGAGCAGAAGTTAATCTGCCTGATGGAACTCGACTAGATTGGTTGCGAGACCGGAGGCTTCTTTAGCTCGGGATATTTGTTGATCGGCATGATCGCCCCGGAGCCTGTTAGTAGTGACTTCGGGATATATATCCGGGAGCGGTTGGGAAGCCGGTTTTTCTAGCGAAAGTGTTTGTCTATCCAATTGGTAGGATTTGGGGGTTAACTACTCCGAAACTCGTTCCTTCTAAACTTGGATAAAATCTAATTGAATTATGAGACCTTCATATCCACCTGTAACCTTGGCGCCCGGTGTTTAGGATAGACCATAAATTACTCAATTTTCGCACCCTACTTCGCGCCGCCGGAGAACCACCAACAGCCGCTAGTTCAGGACCTCCGCAGCCAGGACAGGTTCCATATAGCATTTTCGTTAGTCTCGGCCCCAATCACTACTCAAATTCCGTATTTCCTAGAGATCCCGCATGCAGATGCCTACCAAGACCACCCACCCCTTTTCAACAAGCGTGCAGTGACTTTAGTCATCTTCACGCATGCACGGAAAACACTCTCTGTAGCCCCCCCACCAGTCCCGAGTCATCACCTACCTGTTATTTGGAACAGGTTCGCTCAGCGGAGCCCTTCGTATTCCGCAGAAATGAACCATTCCCCATTAGCAACTTCCTGCAGCCTAAAAGCTCGCATTTTTTGTTCATGCTATGATACCACACTATGTTCAATAAACAACACCCCCTCCCCCTGGTATTCAGCAGTGCAATTCTCCAAAAGCTAGAAATTCATGGGATCTTTCCTGGAATTATGCGCCTCCCTCCAGACGCACACTACTCCCTTCAGAACGCCATGGCAGGTGCTATTGAAATAAAAACTCCTCCCAGAGGCACGGGTAATTGGCCCCTTCTGGCCCTCTTTGTACTATACTCGTAGCTCTGCGCCCTAACCGACTCTCGCCCCTGCATGAACCAAAGCTTTCAATAAAGACGGGTCAGTGCAAGTCCCTTAACTGAATGCCGAAAACCTCCAACGCCATCCTTATCCTTATCCATCGCGGAGATAATCTACAAATTGCGCTCATTAACCTTAAGGGGGCCCCGGGAGGCCGGTCCATTTAGATGGTCGTGATTCGAGATTGTATTTTCCGAACCGCGATTTGAAAGTCCATCAAAATAAATTTTATAAACTGCACCAGGTTGGGTATATCCTCTCATACCGTCTCCCTGCCCGATGCGGTAGCGACAGTGGGACTCGTGGTAAACGTGAATTTGGGGCATCCCACTCTAGAGTTATGCACCTGTCACCGTGGCGATTCACTCCAGGTGACCCCACCCGGATCTACCCCCCCAATAGTAATCCCAAACTATCTCTCATCCCTTCACAGTCCCATACTGGAGAGAGTAGTCAATTTAGGACTGACTACCGCCTACTCCTCCCAAGTCCACTCTCACCCCAGTCACCCCCTCCGACTACCGCCTCTTTCCCAAATAACCCTAATTTTTTGACGCTACCCGAGAGAACTCCCACCTATGATCAGCTCACCGTTTCCACCCTTTCTGCGGGTATATAAGACAGAGTAATGTTTTGCCAGTGGGACGATGATTTCTGAACTTCCGGCCTGTGTTTCTTTTGGCGACGGGGGTCGTTCCTCAAGGGGGGGGGGGGGGGTTCTTTCCAGCCAAGATAGTGGACAAGGTAGACCACGTAATTTCCCGGGGGTGTCGAGGGCATCGCTAGTTTGTAGGGTGCTTGGGTTCTGTA